GCTAAAAGAATTGACAAAATCCTACACACTGTGCCTTTAAATGCAGTAAATTTTTAAATTGCGCTCTTTATACTCAAACTTAAAGCAAGTTGCTAATAAAAGTAAAACAYGTATTTAGTTTCTTCCAGAAAGCAGTTTCTAAATGCTTTAATTATCTCACCATCTGTAAAATATCTTCTATCCTCAGCTGGGCATCTTCCTGATCGTCTTGAGAAAGTGCGCTGAGAACAGATCACAAATAACAGAAAAAGGCTAAATGAAATGAAGCAGAACAGAAATTATTGGGCAGAATAATGAGAAGCTAAGGGGAACTTAAAAACAACGATTTGATGGCAGAAAAATGACTTTTTGTCCTAAACCTTTTGCCTCTGCGCTGTACCTCAGTATGTTGGCTGTAGCTTTTCTCTCCTGAGGCAGAAGGTCTGGATCTCTGAGCACTTCCTCCAGGAGATAGATCACCGACATCTTTAGCTCCCCATTCATCTCAAAGTCCTGAACACGGAGACAAATGAACATCTGTTCTGGAGAGCAGCCTGACACAGACCCACCACCATGCCAGACCAAAATGACCACACTTTACTGCATCAGTCATCAGTCACAGACATGCAGTCCTTTCTCTGACCATTTTTTAGTTCCAGTCTCCTCATTCGTTAGTCTTTATCTCTCCTGTTCCCAATTCAACTCCCATCTCACTTTAACTCTTCTTCAAAGGTCACTTTTAACAAGCTTCTTCTTCTATGGACTAAAAGACAATGCAAATAGCTGCACAGTGCTGTATATGTGTGTGTTTTATGCACATAAGTGTTAATAAGCTGACCCAAGTCATCCTGTCATCGCAGCATTTTGTATTATTGTATAAAAATACATTAAACAGATCGATGCAGTTAKACCGGAAGGACCGTACGCAGGGAGCGAGGCAATTACCTCCATGTTCAGTTTGTTAGATGTTAGCGGCAAAAAGAAGGCAGGCCGAGTCGGTCGTTCAGCTGAAAAGGCAACAGTTTCCTGCGCCTGTGTTTGTGTGCGTGCAGCTGTTTACATTTTTAAGCGAGAGCAGCGGAGCGGCAAGCCAACCCATCCATCATCTGCTTTAATTAGACCACAAACTTCATCACCTGAGCCAAGTAGAAGAATACCCACCACCTCCGCCCACACACACACTCGTACACACTCACACACACAAAGGCACGCGCACAAGCAGAAACGCACACGAGCAGTGGGTGAGAACGAACCTGTGAGTGTTTGGAGACCCAGTGACGCAGCACGTTGAGAACTCTGTTAGTCGCAGCTCTGCGGATGATGAACTCCTTATCGCAGGTTCTCTCAGAGTTAGTAAACACTGCAAGAGGATGAAAAAAAAGAATTTCACATGTTTTTATGTCGCTGGGCTTTCATGTGAGCAATGCTGAAGTGCAAAATATCCACAAATGTTCTAATTAATTAATGCCCACTGCCGTGAAAGGCGGGCAGCTACATACAGTAACCGTGTGTCTGTGTGTGTGTGTGGGTGGGGGTTGGCTTCTGGAGTCAACCCAAAAGTCCACACTTTGTCTCTGCTCTTTATTTAAATCTCCAGACATAATCATCTTATGTTCCGTGTGTATATGTGCGTTTACCTGGCGGGGTACCGTGTCCCGCTGCTGCAGTTGCAATAGCAAAAGCTGATGCAGGAGAAACTGAGCAGCGTGAATTCTCCCCAGACTGGACTGCAGATGCACAGACACATAATTATCAGCAGCAGCAACAACACTGTTGGGTTTATTATCGCTGCTTTTACAATGCCAATGAGAGAACACAAGGGACTGAAATTTACCTTCCAGTCTAACAAGTGACGTGATTGCAGAGGTTTTAAAATGAATCGCTTGGCATTGTGAGTCATACGTTTACAAGCAGGAAATGATTTATTATCTGAACTGTTTTTCTACTGAACACAATGTTCACATCGATAATGGTTAAAAATGATAATAAAATGTGGAAAAAATGGGATAAGTACTTAGAAACGTTTTGTATCCTAAAATGTAAAACCCTCTTGTATTAAATAAAACATGTATCAATATAAATAGCAGTTTTTGTGTTTGCCAGCATGAAGTCAAACTAAATGTTGTAAAAAAATGCTTGTATGAAATGAGTTAGGCGATTATTAAGGGCTCCAAATTTTCAGATTTTTTAAAAGCTTAYAGTGAAAAACAAAAATCAAAACACTCCTAAGATTCATTGAGTCACATTAGTTATCTCATGCAGTT